AGTTTGGCCCTGGAAGAAGGGAGGCGGCCCGCGCCGCTATGGCCTCGCACCTCACAGACAAACCGAGAGCCCGCACCATTCGGCGGCCGCCTTTTTCAGGCCACAAGCAAGGACACACGGCCAGGGAAAGGGCAGGGGGACGAAAGGAACTCCCGCGGCCCCGCCCTTCTGCCCGCCCATATTTTGGGGGCAAACGCGGGAAGGGGAAGGTTTTTCCCCCTGGAAGGACCCTCCAACGCGCCGCCAAGGTCGGCGGATACCAGCCCAAAACCCGCAGCCCTGCAACCCCTGAAACCCTGAAACCCCTAAACCCTAAGCCTACACCTTAAACCCCAAGCCCCTATAACCTGTAGACCCTTCGACTTCCCATGGTTGCAGGCTGAGCTGATGCAACATGCGCTGAGGCTGTCAGAGTTAGAGGCTGGATCCTGATTTCTTGAGAAGGACATGGAAGCTGCTATGGAGGTTTTATGGTTTAGGCCTTGCTTAAGCACCCCATTTTACCACAGTCGCCTACCCAGGTTGCTCTTAACTGACCTCAAATAGAACAGGCCTTGGCGAGGGGAACCTTGTGAATGGGGGGTTTAGCCCGTCAAAACGTCAATATTCTGGCTCCCCTGGTGGTAAACGAAATATGGGCTTTAGGGGGAAGAGTTTCAGATTGATCGAAATTTCAGGCCCGTTTTGTTAGGGCGACGCCTGGAATCAATTTTGCTACTTGGGGGAACTGACCCACGGATTTCCTAGCATGCGTGCTTGGGGTCAAAGATCTAGACTGGGGCTAAAGTCATCAACCCTAGGCAGCTCAGGGTCTAAGCCTAAGCTGTAAGAGTACCGGACAAGGGAACTGCACGTTTCGAAAGTTTGGGTCCAGGGCTTCAGGTTGGGGATGCATGACGAAAACTTGGACATACTGACGTTTCAAGGTTGCAAGGCTTCGCGTTGCGATTTTTGCGCTCGTGCTGCATGGACGCTGCAGCTGCGTTTTCACGATGTGAGCCACCATCTTATGAGTCGAGATCACTTCCTCAATCAGAAGTTGGGTGGGCAGCTGTAGACCTAGTGGGTGGAGAAGTTCTCATACTCAAGCCCAACAAGGCCTAAGATAGACATCCACATCTTCTCAAGTTTGAGCTATGGCATTTGTGTTTGACAGGGCTGTATGCAACTTCCGCCATTTCCATGTTCTACTTGGCAGTTCTCGCCCGCTTTCTATGATCCGGATCCGGATATATTTGGTGTCGTGGGTGCGTAGCGCATTGGCTCTTGCAAGACGGGTTTGGGCATGAACGGTCAAACTTGCGTCTGTGAGGGCCCTGATTCAAAGATGAGTACCTTGCAATTGCCTACAGAACTGCTCTTGAGTTCAAGTAGAACTGTGTGCTCAGCATTCTGCCTGTTCATCCTCGTCCTCTACACAAGAGCAAGACTGCAGCGGCTTTCAGGGTACCCTGTCTTGAGAGCTCCGATGCAGTTGCTGCAAAAACTTTCGGTTGCCTAGGCCCAACAGCGCGGTCATGTTGTGGCAGGTACGGCGCTGAGGCTATAGGTCTCGGAAGGGGTGCGTAATAGGTGTTTCAGGATCAGTTTGAGCCAAGTGGGTGCATTCACATAAAGCTCACAGAATGCTCGTAGAACTTGTGTTTAGGTCACCTGATAACTACCACCCTGGAAGTGCTCTCGACTGCTACGCATGCTACAGGGTGCTCTAGGGAGACGCATTTCATGAAGGGATCCTCCCCGCCACACACCAAATACATGTGGAGCAACATACAGGTCAAGTGGTAACTGTGTGGGGAGTGCGTAGAAGTGTGTCTCTCAAAAGCTGGATCAATTTTTGAGGGTTGACTTCATACAACGTGTCTGCAGGGGGTTGTAGCCAGGAAGCAGCTATATTTCAAGGATTGCAGGGGAGTTTATTCAGCTGTTGTGATGATCTTCATCGAGATACTCCTACATCTGGGAAATGATGTTTAGTAGGGTAAGAACACAACGGGCGGACGCGAGTTTGTTTGTTAGCCAGACACAAACGTTTCCCGGAAACCTTTCGAACCTTTACTTTTTGGTCAGAGAGTAACCTTTCTGGCAAACGTTAGTCGTTAGAGGGAAAAAAACCTTTTCCAGAAACCTTTCCTGGGGCGCAGAAACAAACGTTTCCCGGAAACCTCTCCCTCAAGAGGGAACTAACTAACTTTGAACGAAAAGGTTAGTTTCTACCAAAAAAACAAAGGTTTCCGGAAAACGTTGGTTTCTGCACGCGAAACAAACGTTTCCGGAAAATATTAGTTTGCAAGCGAAAACAAACGTTTCCGGAACAGGTTAGTTTCTGCCGAAAAGCAAACGTTTCCAGAAAACGTTAGTTTCTGCACACGAAACAAACGTTTCCAGCAAAGGTTAGTTTCCGCCCACAAAAACAAACGTTTCCGGAAAAGGTTACTTTCCCCCCAAGAAACAAACGTTTCCGGAAAAGGTTTGTTTCTGCCGAGGAAACAAACGTTTCCGGAAAAGGTAAGTTTCTCCCCAAAAGACAAACGTTTCCGGAGAACGTTAGTTTCGGTAAGTGTATATGTACATAAGTATATAGGTATATAGGTATATATGTATATATGTCTATATGTACATATGTATATATGTATGCATGCATGCATGCATATATGTACATATGTGTATATGTATATCCGTATATACGTGTATATGCAGAAATGTATTCATGTATGTATGCATGTATGTATGCATGTATGCATACATGTATGTATGTATGTATGTATGCATGCATGCATGCATGTATGTATGTATGTATGTATGTATGTATGTATGTGTATATGTATTTATGCATATATGTATATATCTATTCGTGTATATATGTATGTATGCATGCATGCATATATGTATATATGCATATATGTTTATATGTATATCTATAAATATATATATATATGCATATATGCATATAGGTTTCTATGTAGAAACGTATTCGTGTATGTACGCATGTATGCATATATGTATATATGTATTTACGTATATATGTACATATGTATACGTGTATATATGTATAGATGCATATATGTATATATGTACATATGTTAGTTTCTGCCCACGAAGCAAACGTTTCCGGCAAAGGTTAGTTTCTGCCCACAAAAACAAACGCTTCCGGAAAAGGTTAGTTTCCGCCCAAGAAACCAACGTTCCCGGAAAAGGTTTGTTTCTGCCGGGGAAACAAACGTTTCCGGAAAAGTTTTGTTTCTGCCCAAAACACAAACGTTTCCGGCAAAGGTTAGTTCCTGCCCCAAGAAACAAACGTTTCCGGCAAACGTCTAGTTTCTCCCCAAAAAGCAAACATTTCCGGCAAAGGTTAGTTTCTGCCCACAAAAACAAACGTTTCCGGAAAAGGTTAGTTTCTGCCCAGGAAACAAACGTTTCAAAGGTTAGTTTCTGCCCAAGAAACAAACATTTCCGGAAGAGGTTAGTTGCTGCCCAAAAAACAAACATTTCCGAAATTTCTGACTAAACACATTTCTACTGCGGAAACAAACTTGGCAGCATAAAGTTAGTTTCCGTTTTGAAAACAAATCTTTTCGCCTCCGCCGTTTGTCGGTAAGAAGGCACGCGCGCCAGCAACATAGTCCACATGGCCGTCAATGGAACCAGGGATTGAGAAGGTGAGTGCAAACCGCCAATAGTTAGAATTTAAGCAGCTTCTGTAATCATCATTTATTTCCTCGTTCTCTACTTGGCAGTGTGGGGGTGGGCCAGAAAGCACAACTTGAAAGCTCTTCCCATCCCCTCGACTGATAGATGTTCACAGAGATCCACTCAGAGGTGGGGAATCTACATTCTCTCCTGGAGGGAACTGTTAATGAGGGGAAGAGATGATAGACAGAGGGTTCCGGAATTCCTTGAGGCTCGCTTCTTGCAGATCATCCTCTGCAGGAAGACTTCCGAGATGAGGACGACGAGGGAGCCCTAACTGCCTCCACGTCATTACTTCCTAGCGCCAGCAGCTGCAGCCAAAGAGTCTTGTCTTCTGCTGCTTGACTCAGGGTTCTCCGCAAGAGGCGGCAGAACAGAGAGCCAGGCAAGCAGCAAAGTTTCAGTAAGCCTCGGTTCGGACTTAAAGCTAGGTTTTTGTCCAAGTGCAGGTTACGTGAAGAGCAGGAAGCCGAGTACCAGGACGCGCTCTTTGCATATTGGAGGCTGTAGTTCTGAGATCCTCCTGAGGCCAATTAAGTGTGCACAGGCCTCGGGCTATTAGCTCCAAGCACGCACAGAGGGAGGGTTTGCCAGATCTGGGTTTAAAGAGACATTTGGGCTTGCTGTCTGACATGCCGCAGAATCCTGTAAGGGCTTGTGGAATCCCTGCACGTCGCTGGAGGGTTCATGGCAACCTGAAATACGCCATATTTTCCAATTGGTATGATACAGGCTTCCACATGCAAAAGGTGGGTCTCTATTTCAAGAGTCCTTCAGGTAAGGTGATTTGAGATCCCAAGTTTGAGAAATCTTGTAGGCTGGTACAGTAGTCAACCTTGCTCCCAACACTCTGCACAGTCAGACTGGACAAAAGATCCCTGTAAAGGCTTAACGTAAATGTGGCATAGTGCACCCCTGAAATCCTGTACTTGACTTGCAGTCCTGCCCTTGGAGGAGAGCTTGCGGATCGATCGCGAGCGCGCGGAGCAGGAGGCTCTAAGGCGGCCGGAAATGGGGATATCACAGGTTTCATATCCAACAAAAGTCCCCATTTCAATGCCCCTGCCCCCGTGAAACTGGCTTCCCTGTCATGACCCTGATGAGAGACCAATGTTCTTGCAATCCTGCGCCAAGTTCAGAGTTCAATGTCGAGCTGCACTGCTGAAATGCATCACACACTGCCCTCCAAAGTGTCGCTGGCTTGCCAGGCTCAAGGAAGAAGAGGAGAGAAGGAGACAAGAAGCGGAAGAGCTGGAGTCCAAAGCCAAGCAGGCTGGGGAGTCATGAATGGTCAGGAAAGATTCCAGTGATACGTAGGTCATGTATCAGAGCTGCTAGTGTAGGTTGCAATGGTGTTCCGAATGGTCGTATTACAAGATGCGAAAAGTTTGTGCTTGAAGGTTCAAAGGTATTTACAGTCAGAAAAATACTGTGAACATGCTGGTAGCCATAGCCTCGTCTGGGGCGCCTTATTGGTTGCTAGCAGGGAATGGAGGAATGGATCCTCATAGTACCGTACAGAAGCTCCTCCATTGTTCACTACAAGCAACAGCAAGTTACCTCAACACCCAAAACCCTCTGTCTGTCTCCCTCTACCTCCTCTCTCTCTCTCTCTCTCTCTCTCTCTATCTATCTCTCTATCTCTCTCTACCTCTACCTCTAAATGTATGACATCTCGCTATGAAATCCCAACTTCGTTGGTTTTCCATTCCCTGTCTGCAAACGAGCGCATGTAAGGCAGAAGCGGAGGAAAAAGCACGGCAGGATGACATCGCTCGAAAGTTGGAGGAGGCCAAACCTCACGCCATATGGAGATTTTGAAAAAGAAGGAGACTGCTTCTGCAACCACCATACGATACTCCTTCATCATGGGGATCCCCCCCCAAAATGGACTCCCGTCTTCCTTCCAGACTTTCTGGTCTAGAGATTCCTGCCAGTAACTGGAGCAAGACAGCTTGAAAAAGCAGTCAAGACAAGTCAAGTCCTATCTCCGAAGAGAAGTTTGTACATGAGCGGCGCAGGACTGTAAATGGTTGAAGGCATATTGGCGCAGGAGTGCCAGGTACTCATGCCTACTGCTGGCCCAGGCCAAGAGCATGATCACTGCGGAGCCCAGCGCCCAAAGAGCCAAGTCAGAGAATTTGGCTTGTGTTGTGAAAGTCATGCAGGTTTGAACATGAAGCTAGGTCATGCTATCAGCATCTCCTGCCCAAGACTACAAACAAAGTTTATTATTCTCCGGACTCCATGTGGCGATTGCTCTAGCGAGCATGGCAGTGTCTCGAGCGGAGTTCGACCGCCTGGAGCGACGCCTGTCTAACGCGGAAAAGACCATACAGCTGCAGGCCAGCTACATACAGGAGCTGCAGGACAGTGTGGATCTACTTCAAGGCACAACATCGCGTGGTCCTCCGGTGGGAAGTGCGTATACACGCAGCCCAGGGCCTCGCGTGCGGGAGGCTCGTGAGTCTTTCCGCGAGCCGCTTCGCGAACCCCTTCGCGAGCGCTCTCGGACTCCCGGACCAAGGGGTTCGGCGCCGGCATACCCAACTCGTGCCAGTAGCCCTACATCAGCAGCACCTGCAGCTCCTGCAGCTCTCGGCAATGGCTATGGCCACACCGCTTCAGACGGCTTGGAATCCTTTGAGTCTGACATGATATCGATTGAGTCGATGGTGGACGACTTTGTGCATACCAATGCCCTGGATACCAAGTGCAGGGATGCACTGCTGAACCAGCCGCTAGATGTGGTGCAAGCGGTGGTCAACCAAGGGCCAGCGGAAGGGCGAAATCCGTCAGCAATGGTCATGAGTAGGATAGCAAGGGCACAAAAGGACGTGTCAGCTTTCGCTGCAGAGGCGCCGCTGCCACTTGCGGACAGCCTCCCAGAACAGGTCGAAAGCTTCATCGCTGAGAATGCTCTGGATGAGATGTGCTCGGAGGCCTTGAGAACCCAGGGCCCTGATTGCCAGGCAGCGGTGATTGGCCAAGGTCCTGCCAGCGGCCGCAATGCGTCAGCCATGGTGATGGGCCGAATTGCCAAGTACGGGAAGAAAAGATAGTGACAGGAGGCATCTATGATATCACAGGCGCTCAGTGCCCGGTGGAAGCCAGAATGTTGCCAGAGGAAGAGCAAAAAGCGTCACTTGTTGTTGGCGTCAGTGCATGCCGGGTGCTCGTTGTAGCTGCATCAGCTTCAGCACTGCTCAAGCTCCCGTGCAAGGCCCCCTCCCGATGAACCTGGCCGACTTCAGTTCCAGATCCGCACGCCTGATGGAAGGCAGAAGTGATGTGGCACCAAGGAGTAACTAAATTCATGATGATGTTTTGGGTTCGGGGTGCCTATTTCTGAGCCGAAGGTTGGAGGGTTTTAACATCCAGGCACGATACGAACACAATTAGGAACACCGCACGGTAGACCTAAAACATGGAGTTCCTGAATTGAAGACAACCTCTCCATTCTTAGGTAGACTTCGTGGTTTACGAACCTGTGGGTCCACCTGATTAAGATTGCTTAGGGATGCTGACATGGGGCTAAGTTATGGGAAGCTCACGGGGGTAGTATGGCACCTAAACCCTAAACCGTGTTTGTCCGCTTTCTACAGGAGTGCTTCCTAGAGGGTCTGCTCTTTGCCCGCGCTTACTTGCATAAACCACGAATCTGTGTTTAAGGTTTTGGGGTGTACCAAATTTTCCTCATTCTTTCCCGCAAGACGCGGCGCTTGTTGGACCTACCCAACATGGTTGCTTATCTAATTCTGGACTGGCGACAAAGGGGACCCCGAAAAAGAGGGGCATCATTTTGAGAAGCCCCACCCTATCCTATAGATTGCATTGTTCGTAATATCATAATCCCTTGATATGAGCTCTACAGAGCCCCGACATCCCGCAGATGATCCAACATGTCGGATGATATTCTCAAAGCGCGACGGCCAAGCCCTAAAACTTTGCTTCTAAAACCCTAAAAAAAATACTGTACTTTTCTACGGATGGAGAAAATCCTGGTAAGCACCCTTAGTGGTAGTTTCACTGTTTTAGCGATACTGACTGGTGCAAATTTGACCGTACCTTTGGGATCAAGGATAATCCCCCAAAGTGGACTCGCGTCAGGAGGCTTAAGAGGGCCTTCCGACCTGAGGACACCATTGGCCAGGCTCGTGGTTTCGAGTTAGTAATATAAGGGGATGTTAGGTGTACATGAGGGTATGTAAGGAATTAAGGGTACACAGGATATAGGGTTTTGGGTTTAGGGTGCCTATACATTTGGCCTTCAGAGTGATAGGAGCGGGATGGCAAGGTAGTGACTTTATAATTCAGGGCAGAGCAAAGCCTAAGTCATCATCAGGTAGTGGCCTACAGTCCTACAGTAGCTATTGTTTAGATACCAGTCGTGTTTTGAAATAATATGTATGTTCCTCGATCAGGAAACTAGAGCCACACGGTTATGGTTTAGGGCTTAGGGTTTAGGGTTTGGGGTTTAGGGTTCAGGGTTTAGGGCTTGTGGGTCTGGGGAAAAAGGAATCCATAGAGTTGTGGGCCAGGCTCATGATTGGGAATCTTGGGGTTGAGGCTTTCTTTGTGTGCAAATAGAGCCAGATTAGGAACCGGGGCTCAGGGACATGGGGGGTCGTTGGATCGTGATTTTGGATGTTGGGTTTGGGGTTGAGGGGTTTTGGAGGTTTGGTCTTCTGGCTGTGTTCGATGGACCATATAGGGAGGAAACTGGGAGCGTACTTCGATCTAAATACAGAGGAGCTGGCAGAGAAACTAGTGAATCCGGGATTTGCTTTTGTGGCTACTCACGCGTACGGTGTGGTTGGCAGTACTTATAACTACCGGCGACAATCCAATGCTGCAGGTGTACGCCTATGCCTGTGTCGAAGGTGGCGAGGCGCGAACAGCTTGCGAACGTCATGGGGCAGTGCTCGCAAAATCCTTAAAGGGGTCCCGCCGTTGTTCACTTTGAAGTTCTCTGTCGCCGGGAGATGAAACCTTTGTTTTGCAGCGTGACACTATTGGCACTGCAGCTCACTGCTCTCGATATCTGCTTACAGCCGCGGAAGCAGGTAAGAATTTATCAGGATTGCAGTATCGGAACAACGAGAACAAATAAATTGGCTTTTTCTGGTAGCATGTCGGTGATGAGGTCCTGGCAACACGCGAGTTTCGGCTGGTGGAGACGATGCCGCGCCGGACCTACGAGGACGTCAACTGAAGCCCAACCTTCCTACCTATGATCCTTAAAAGAAGGTTCAAAAGAGTTTGGAATTTATGGATGAGGCCGTAAGGTCTAGGGTTCACGGATACACCGCGCACAACACCCCAACGTTTGCAACGCCTTTTAATTCATTGCCGTAGGATTTGGAGAAGACTCTGGAAGCCTATTCTTGATACCGCACGCCATGGACGCGTGTTTGCATTTGGCTCAAGGCTTGTGACCGGAAAGCTCTTCTTCTTCCATGCGCAAGCCAGCACAGATGGTGGAAATCCGAATACACACACTTCGCGGCGACCATTGGCAAATCCTGTCTGAACAGGCGGCAGAAGAAGTGTTCTCAGTTGAGCAGCTGAAGCGACATGCAAGCCTCATGGGCCAAGGATGCTTCTTGACAGATATTGTGTATAAGGAGGCCATCCTGGATGATGAAACAGACTTAGCCAGCCTTCCGCAGCCAGTAGAGGTGACCCTGGTGCAGCATAGCAGCCACTGGTCTCCAGGGCTCCTGGCCGCTGCACCCAGCAAGACTCTTCCAGAGGTTGAAGCTGCCTTGAGGCGCTTTGCTGATCCCAACTCTCAGGACGACCGTGGATGGACTGCTTTGTGCTTTGCTGCTTCTAGAGGAGATCATGGTATGGAGCCTTGGCAGATCATGAGCAAAGCCGGCTATAATGCCTTAGACTTGAAGGCAGGATTTGCATGCGTGCATGATTGATTTTTCAGCCGAAGGTTTCTACGTGCTGTTTAACATCTTCCGGGCTGCAAACAAAGAATAATGGCACCATGTGCTTATGTGCTTGCAAACTACACTAGTTAGACTTGCACATGGGAGACATGGCAAGCCTCAGGAAGTAAAAAGACGCATCAATGCACTGACACGGTAACCCAAATATGCTCCGTTTGAAGGGCAGAAGTCTTATTGGGGCCGAGGGTGAGTAGATGACGAGGGCTTTAGAGCTGCATTGGGTCAGAGCCCTCTTCTTGTCTTCACAGCATGGAAAATTCAAATGTGACAACGAAACGATGAGCGAAATTTACGCGATTTGGTTTGGGGGGCATATGCGAAAATTCGAAAATTTTTGGATTTTTGAATTGGCTTGTGGGCCGGGATCCCGAAAATTCGAAAATCAAAAATTTACAGATGTTTGCGAAAATTTGCCGATTTTTGCGAAAATTTGCGATTTTTGCGAAAATTTG